AGTTGGCCACGACATCTGGGTTCAAGGTCCAAACTCAGACTTCAAAAAAGTTTTAAGAGGACACTCCATGCCTTTGGTAACCCCTGAGCACCACAGAATGAACCCTGCTGCCCTGAGGCCTCCAGTGGTACCCCGGGGGAAGCGTGCCCTGGCTGGACGTGGCAGAGTGAGATGCACAGGGACAGGAAGTGATGACTCCCGGGTGACCACCATGGTCGTCATCATAGCTCATACGCCTCCACACACACTTCTTCGCCTGCGTGTCTTCAATGTCAGCGGAGACTTGTGTCTCCCCAAATACCACCCGGTTGATGAAATAAATAAAAAACTTCCGGAAGCAGTAAGCAGAGGTAGTGTTTTGCTCATAAATCTCTAAAAGCTCATGGGAGGCCTGCCAGCACTTAAATCTTTAAAAAACAAACCCCCAGGCAAGGGACCCCCTACCCATGACTGAGATCAGCCTGTGTTGGGGGTGGGGTGGGGATTCTGAGGGGTCTGCACTGACACGGAGGGGTCTTTGCTGCAGCCTGACTTACATGGTGGGGCCGGTACACTTCCTGTCTCTCTCGCTCCTAACCAACCCTGGGAATGCTTGTGGCACAACCAGGAACGTGGGATGGGGGAAAACACCTGGATAAACACCACTGGCCTGCCTGAAGGGGGAAGGCCAGACTCTCACACAGAAGAATAATAAAGCAAAGACAGTATCTTTTACTCTTTGGAATCTCACGAGACAAGACACTGCCTTGAAAGAATTAGTGAGGAGTTTTCTTGTTTGTCCCCACCAAATAAAAGGTATATATCTATGTCCAATTGTGTAAGTACGACAAGATAAACTGATCCAGATTCTGAAAAATCAAATATACTCTGGTGTCTGTTGCTAACTGTGAAGCCGGGTGAGGCCACTCGGTCTGTTTTGGCAGAGCGGGCGAGCGTCGGGGGCGGGAAGGGCAGGCCCGGCCCTGGCTTGGAGTCTGCTGGGAAGCGGGGAGAGGCCAGGGCTGAGGCTGTGTATGTGTGCCATAATATAGAGATTAAAAAACGCGAAAGGGAAAGAAAGAAAGGAGAGCACACAGCTGCCATCCCCCAAACAGACCTCCCATCTGCCACCCACGATTTGCATGTCACCTTCTCCGGGCTCATTTGTACTTCATTAACTGCCATTGACTTAACAAGATTTATGCAAATGACACCATAGGAGCTCCCTAACTCCCATCGCAATCAAGTGATTATGTATGTACAACTCTCCGCAGCAATGAAAAATTAATACATGACAAGCCCACTCGCCACTGAGCTGGGCCTCTGGCTTTTTATTTTTCTTGCTTTGCCTTTTAATTTTTATTCCAATAGACCTTATCTTATTAGTGGAAAAAAAAGAAGAAGAAGAAACAGAACTCTGAACCAAATCTCCTCGAAGGCCCCAGACAGGACAAAAAGGGGGAGGGGGCCCCAAGTTCTCAAGAAATGAAATCATTTTGCAAAAATTGTTGTATTCTTGATGAGAAATCTTTGGGAAAAAAGAGAAGAGATCAAATCATCGCTTATCATGATCGGGTGAGCTCCCACGCTGGGAGAAGAGGTCTCCGTCCTCACAAGGAACGAGCTGTAAGATGTGAGCGAAACATGGTTAAGATAATTCACCGGAACATGTACAATCTGTAGACACATGAGTCAGCTTGCCGGGCATGTTGCAGACTGCCTCGCCTGTGTCCCAAACCATCCGTTACAAGATTCCCGTGGGGAGGGGGAGAAAAAGAGCCTGCAATGATCAAAAATAGTAGCCAGTCCAAAAACCATCACCACTGCCAGCCCCACAAAGGTTGCTGAGGTTCCAAGACCATTTCTCTGCCATGAGGCACAGGGTGCACGAGCCGGGGTGAGGGCGGGTTTCCAACAGGCAAACCGAGACTTGAACACAGGCTGAGCATTAAGACAAGGTGCCCGGCTGCTGGTGAGAAGGGCAGGAAATGCACGTGACAAGCAATCACCATGGGATGAAACGACCCCTCCCACCCCCAGAACAGACGAGCGTGCCTACGTTATCCCTGGAGAGAGAAACACGTTGCTGCGGGCACAGTCTTAGAAGTTTCTTCTACACAGGCAGAAGGTATTTTTTTGTCTGAGGTCAGGGCTCACGTATTCAATTTAAAACACATAACTTTGCTTTCCAAGCTTTCTGAAGGTTTCTTGCCAACAGGCAGTGGCAACAGCACAGGCTCTGGGGCAGAGGGGCCTGGGTCCGAATCTGGGCTGCCCATCGCTTCCTAAGCTGCCTGGTCTGGACTGCTCCTCGGCTCTGGGTGTAATTTAAAATAAGGATACCACATTGCCTCAGCTGTGGCTATGTTGAGGCTTCAGCGGGATGCATCTGAAAAGCACTTAAGAGATAATAAGGACTCATTTAATTGTTCATTTATTCAACAAATAGGTCTGTTGAGCTTCTAGAACATGCGGACAGGTCCCGCCCCATCAGCCTCCTTCCTCTGCAATCCTCTCATTTCATTTCTACCAGTTGAAGTCATCACATTGGGAGGGTTAGGAATTCAGACAATCTCTAATGATCTTGGTTCCTTTATAAACACAGGCACACGCAGGCACGCAAGACAAATCTACATGACTGTCTACAAACCCACAGCAATCCATGGGACCCACAGAAAGACTCCAACAAAGGTGCCTGAGTGTGACTCATTGGAAAACCCAGTTTTGCAGGAATTTTAAAATTCTCTCTGGAATCGCCACATCCCAGTGTTTCAAGGTATTTTCAAGGTGTTTCAGATATTGTCCAGTGTCCCATTTCACAGATGGGGAACCTGAGGCCTGGAAGAGCCTGACCCAGGGGGACTCTGACCCATCCCGCCAGGTGTGGACTTCAGGAAGGAGTTTGTCCATGGCTGCACGTGGGGGCAGCTACGAGGGACGAGGAACTGTGTGTGCTCCCTGTGCCACAATTCACCAGGAGATCAGATCATGATTTAATTTTTTTTTTCTTTTGAGGAAGATTAGCCCTGAGCTAACTGCTGCCAATCCTCCTCGTTTTGCTGAGCAAGACTGGCCCTGAGATAACATCCATGCCCATCTTCCTCTATTTTATATGTGGGACGCCTATCACAGAATGGCTTTTGCCAAGCGGTGCCATGTCCGCACCCCGGATACGAACCTGCAAACCCTGGGCCACCGAAGTGGAACGTGCGCACTTAACCGCTGCGCCACCGGGCTGGCCCATGATTTAGATTTTTGACGAGACTATTTTTGAAGATTCACAACGGAAAGTCTTTCAAGGACGGGATAATCCTCATTTTACGCTTGATGGTCAACTCCAATCTGCCCACATATTGAAAACCTAGCCTGTAAGACGAGCCCCCTCCGCAGATGAGCAGGGAGCAAATGAGTGAAGGTTCTAATTACAGCGGGGGCCTGCCCGGCTCCCGTGGAGGCGAGCACCCCCACCCTACTTGACAATAGATGTGAATTAAGGAAATAGCCTAGTATGAAGTTTTGATATTCCCAAAGGGATATGTTCCAGGAGGGAGGCAAAGGGTTAAATGATTTTATAATACTAGTGGAAACAGCATCAATAGCATAAAAATTACACCTTAAAATTACCCTATGTAGAGAGTTAGGTTTATAAATAAATGCACAGAGAAAGAATAAGCAGCTATGTGCATGGACCTCTACAGCAAAGAAACCGTTTTAGAGGGAAGACGTCACTCACCAGGAAAGAGGAGGGAAGAAGATTTTTCTTGATGGTGCCCCTTGCTAGTCCATACATTTGTTGCCCGGTATCTGAACGGGTCTTGTAAAAAACTCTGTAGATCCCCCTGCCTCTGGTCTCACCCACGACACCATGATGCCATGGTCCTATGCAACCTGACCCTCCCCTACACTCCATACTGAAACTGCCTGGCCCTCAGCTAAAGCTGCATTCCGACTTGGTGCAAATGGGTGAAACTGTGTTGTGGAAAGACACTAGCCCTTTTTAAGGCTACAGTGCCAACATGAGTTCCTAAAATTCGGCAAAAACGATCTAGGTACCACAGAACAGGAGGGCAAAGAGCAATCACCCAGAGGGAAGAATCAGTCACAGCAACATCCATAAGAGCCAGAGCTATTATCGTGCCCAGATTTTTTTTTCTCTCTCTCAAGCAGAATGCACTCTAAATCAACTGGCCTTCTTTAACAAACTAAAAGATGACATTTCCAGAAGCCACGGTGCCCGGCTGAACTCCTTATTTTGATTTTCCTTGGAAACAGAATAGCAAAACATGTCATGTGAATTCCCGTTTTACTTGAGACATAAAGTAATTTGGTACCCGGTTTCCGGGCTAATGAAAACCTATTCCAGGCTAGCGACATAGGCCAAAACAAACGCTTGAATTCAAGTCCTGTTGTGTAATGAGGAAGTTTAATTAAGGCCCCACATTACAGCTGTAAATGTTCCTTTATATAATAAGGTCTAAATGAAACTGAACCTAATCAAAGTTACAATTCCTTCATTAGCAAATTACAAACAAGAGCGCACAGCTGACACACCGGCTATGATTATCACAACTAATTGCCTCGTTGTTACAAACCAGCCTGAAACAGTGTTCAGATGTCCGTCTGCGAGAGCAAATTAGGGCCACGTCGGGCTATTCCTGTGATCACAAGGGGCTCTTGTACACGATCTGATTTACCCCTGTCGACTGGCAGCCGGCGGCCCAATCAAAGCCGAGCTACAAAGGCAGCCTTTGAAGCCAGCTCAGCCTCGAAACACACTCCATATGCAGGCGGGCAGACCGCACTTCATTAAATCTGTTGTCACATTTTCCCTCTTCTTATTCTAATGATCCTATATTAATACACACAGGAACCTCTTCTAATTGATGTCAAGTGAGTGACTTCTACATTCATCAACAGAACACATCAAACAAACCTTGGCGCACGAGCCAGCATCATAGTGAGGCGAGACCCGGGGTGTGTCTCCAGCTACGGGGAAGGGAGCAAAGGGAGAAACAGCGTACCTGTTTAATTGGGATGGCTCGACCGCTCCCGATGCTGTCCGCACGACTCTCCAGGCCTTTCTTCTCTTTGTCTGGGTCACTCCCTTTCCGAGACTGCAAAGCAAAAATAAAGTTAGCATTTGGGTTTATAAGGGCTGTGGTTCACGGATTGCATGAGGTCTGCCCTTATTTGCACAGTTTCTGTAAACACGTATTTAGAAGCCACAGACAATATATGTGTGTACATACACACACACACACATCCTAGAAGCGAACTGTTAAGTAGTCCATTTCCACTGATCCATCATTTTACACAGAATTTTCTAAACTTTTCCCCTTACTTTTCCCCTGCAAAATTGTCTTTTAATTCTTTTTTAAAGAGTTCAAAATTCAATTACTGGAAACCAAGGGACCGTATACGAAAGTAACACCCAACAGGAAAATACATTCTAAAGCAGCAGTTAATCCAGCCAGGGAGAAAAGGGCTCCTTGTTGCTGATTGGGGAAACCCACCACATAAATGTACATATTTAATTAACGTCTGAAGGACTTAAAAAATTCTATTAATGACTCAGCTGCGCAATTTAACAGTACACCCCCATGATTCGTACCAAGGTGCCGGTAATGTTTCCTTTTATGCTTCTGGATGGTTAGAAAATGACAAATTCAAAGCCAAACCAGTGTAGGCTACCAAAAAAAAAACAAACAGCAAAGGGGAAGAAGTTGAAAATGTCCTTTTTTGACAAAACGCTAGAACTCGGGGGGGAAAAAGAGCAGCTTCGTTTGCCAAGTTCCTAGAACAGTTTCCTTGGTCGAATCGTGGATGTTACGTGAACAGCCAGGTGGCTGGGGATTGGCAGGGAGGGCGGTGGTGTGTTCCATCCGGAGAAGCCACACCCGCGAGCACACCGCGACACGGGGAAATCGAAGGTGAGCCACAGCTAAGCCTCCATCTCTTGATGGCATGAGCAAGTGTGAGCACTATGATTTTCTGACAGATTTATTTTATTATGAGAGAAAGATCTGAGACTCGTCCTCCTTAATAACTGTGCTGACAAGTGACAACTTCACTCCATTACTTTTCAATGGGAACATTACTCACGCAATATTGAAAATGGAGAAACATTTTCATGTGCTTTTCAAATCTGAGATGATATATGAAACGAACAGACTTTGTGGTGTCCAGCGCTGTAAGGAGAAGCTGATGGAATCCAGTTTCAAAGAGGTGTGAGATGGAGCCACTGACTTTGTTTTTTTAATGGTAAAAGGGGCAATGCCACAGGACGTAAGGAGGGAGAAACGTTCCCCTGATATAAACTCAGACCCAGCACTTTGATGAGCACAGGCGCTCATTAGAAAACATGCTTCTGTGACAGTTATAAGAGCTGACATTGATTGACCACCTACTGTGTGTCAGGCACTGTGCACATTTTTTCCTGAGGATGATAGAAGCCTGGGATGAGATAACAGGAAACAAAACCAGCAACAAACAGAAAGTTGCAGAAGAACGCAAAACGTAAGGGTTACCCCTTTGGAACTCGGAGCAAAATGGAGATACTTAGCAATTCCTTGTCGTGAATTTTAGCAGGCGGTGGTTAGGCTCTCACTTTTCTCTTTAACTAATCCTTTAATTAATATTGTATAGTAAGTGCCATGTAATAGCCCTAAATCCTCTTTTCCGCACATCTCGATTCCTGGGAAAGCTGGAACTTCAGGTTTCTATTTATAAAATAAGATTCAAAGATCACAGGGATAACGTTTTGGGAAAAAACTTAAATCAACAGAGCTCATTAATGGTACTTTTGGAATGCTATGCATTCTAAATTTATAAATTTGCAAATCCATCTTCATTATTCTCTATTAACCAGAATAATTAACAAAACAAACATTAAAAAAATTAACATCTTCCTCATGACAGCACATCTGTCCCCACAGTCACTCCGTCCTCAGGGCAGAATTTCCAGACTCCGCAAGAAGCAGGACCACGGAGGACCAGCCTCAATGTTAGATCACACCCTCAGAGATGAAAGAGACGGACACTCTACTGCCAAAAAACCTCCAAAATTCCCTGACAACTCTAACATTTCAGGGGAGAGCCATGAACCTAAAATCTCAAGGAGAGGGCAGTGAGAAGCGGTTAGGCTCAGGAATGCTGAATCTTAGCTTCACGATTACTTTTTCTACGACAGGCTGAGTACATATCAACAAAATTGAAATCCAACCACTAAACCAAAACAAACCCATGGGACATAAAACACTGCGGCCAAGATAAATTCCCAGTAAGGTCTCCAGACTTCTCCGACAACTGAGACGACATCACTGACAGCTCATCCTTGCGTTAGTGCAGACACGGCTCCGTGGAACCATCAGATACAAAGCAGCTCTCGGGACCTGCTGCCTGTGTCAACCGTGACCGTGCAACACGACGAGCCTGACACGCACAACTAGAAAGCTAACAAGAGTTTGTCGCACTCATCGCAGAAGGTCGGTGGCAAGCCAGAAGAGTGCCTGCTTAGTCTCAGCAAACACTGAATACAGAGGAGAGCAAGGTTCAGATCATCTAATTATCATCTCCTTCTTTACCAAAATGTTTAACTTTCTCCCATGCGAGGAAAGAAGCCATGAAGGGACATCTCGTCAACTACCTGCTTACAGGGACAAGAAGCATCTCCGCCAAGAGCCCTCACTATCAGACAGACAGTGCTTCTCCCCGTAACCAATGAGTGAGTAAGAGGCTGCTGGACCACTGCAACAGGATGCAGGCTGTCCTCCACAAAAGACAAAACACTACTCGAACAACTCAATTTACACTATCAATTTTGCGGCCTTATTTTCACAGCGAGTTTCTGAGCTGGGGAACATCTTTTCACAATCTTTGGTTACTGGGGATGCTTGGCTCTGGTACACGGGATAGGCGTTATCTGGTAAGCTTTGGAAAACATAAAAAAACACCATTACTATAAAGCTTGAAAAGAGGGAAAGCAAAGTACAACTATGAACACACACTAGAGTAAGTTTACAACATGGATACAGATAAGAAACACCAAATTCAAGTGAATGCTGACCCCTGGACAGGGAGGCAGAGGAATGTATCTCGGAGACAAACCCAGAGGCAGGGCTTCAAAATTTACCGATGATATAGATATATTTTTTTCCTCCCCAAAGCCCCAGTACATCGTTGTGTATGCTAGTTCTTAAGTCATTTTAGTTCTTCTGTGAGGGATGCTGCCCAGCATGGCTTGATGAGCGGTACAAAGGTCCGTGCCCAGGATCCGAACCGGCGAACCCTGGGCCGCCAAAGCGGAGCGCATGAACTTAACCGCTGTGCCACCAGGCTGACTCCTACTGATGATATTTGTTTCTTGAAGAACCAGCCGTGGTGGCAGCATCAGCAAAATGCTTATATTTGATGAGTTGTGTGGTGAGTGTATGCATCTGTTTTTTTCTTCTTGTATGATTGAAAATAAATATTTTCTAATAAAACATTTTAACCACATATAAATTAGGGCCACAAAACTAAATTAATTGCTCTAAGACTTATATTAAAAAAACCAGGAATTAAATAGATATAGCCTTTTAATATTTCTTTTCTCAAAACAATTTTTTCAAAGAAATGAGCAAAATAAGATATGTTTTAGCTTTTGATTAGTAAAGTATAATTCCTACTGCAAATATAACACAAAATTTGCTACCCGAGGAGAGACTTTAAGTCGGAACTATTTTGTAAAAAGTGCGTGTGATCTATTTTTGTTTAAAAATGTGTATTATGTGCAAAGAGAAACCTCTGGGACTGCAAAACGTTAGCCAAGAGTGGGACATTCCAGGTCCACTTTATAAAATTTATAAGCATGGTATTTGAAAAATGATGTGTGTACTACCTAATTAACTCCGGCCTCTTTACAACAGCCTAATAAATAAGGACGGTGTCCCTTCATCTGGGTCCTACAATGCCAGCCTGCGTGGGTTTTTATTCACCAAGATTGTTTGGCATATGGCACATCTCTCCTCCTCCTAAGCACTTCTAAATAAATATACTTTTTGCCAATTTAAGCCAATAATTACCAACAATCACCAGGGATGAAGAGTCTATGAAATTTTCCATATTTCAGAATGGGTGCAAACTGTTAACAATGAGACTTTCATTTCTTAATTGCTACAATTTCAAAACTAATTTGCCCCTTTTCATTCCCTGGATGACACTGACATCTAGTGGAGTTAATATTTTTAAGATCTTCAACTTAAAATATCCACACGTCACTGTCACCATCACCACCAGCACCACCACCATCACCGTCATCACCACCACCACCAGCACCACCATCACCACCAGCACCAGCATCACCAGCATCACCACCACCACCACCACCACCACCACCACCACCATCACCACCATCACCGTCATCACCACCACCACCACCACCACCAGCATCACCACCACCATCACTATCACCATCATCACCATCATCACCAGCACCAGCATCACCATCACCACCATCATCACCATCATCATCATCATCATCATCACCATCATCACCATCACCACCACCACCACCATCGTTTTGTTCAAGTGAAAGCCAGTAATGGCCCACAGGCGGGTCCAGCCTGGGAGTTTAGCCATCTTTTCCTTCAATGCCATGATGCAAACCCATGACCCCCAATCTCTATTCCTGCCAGTAACCATTGTGTAGCCAGATTCAATTTTTAAAATGGTTTACTCTCAAACTGCTTTCCAACATTTAAAAAAGGGAATAAGCATTGATGACGACAAGATTCATGGGCAGGGCTTTGCATTATTAGAGCCCTTAATTATGACATAATTAATGGGGATTCTGAGTCACCGTAAGATGAGTTCTGAGTGGCTCTAGCACCTGCCCTGACAGCTGGGGCCCCTGGCCTCTGCCGGGATGCCTGCACTGGGGCACGCCCACGTGTGTGCGGCTTGAATAAGCGCAAGAGTGCCCCCACCCCTCTGTCCTCCACTCTCCTCTTAGCCTGGGGAGCCCCTCCCTTCTCTCCAACGTGGGGTGACTCTGGTGACCACGGCCCCTGATAGACACCAAGCACAGCCAGGCTCTGCAGACACAGGGAGGAAGGAAAGATTTCTTAACTGAGTTATTATCATTTTGAATCTTCCTGCCTTCAAGTTTTCTGCATTGTCGGTTACCCAGTGGATAGGGTGCAGGATACTATTTTCTGGCACATTCCACCTCCAGAGGTGCCCTTCGTATGAGGGGACAGGGACATGCTGGAGCTCTCCCTATAAACAGCTCCGTTTGTAAAGATTCTTCCTGGCTTCTCATGACTTTCTTTAGAATAGAAACCAAAACCAATGCCCAATAAATGTGGCCCTTGAAAGGTATCCCGTGCCTGGGTGTTTGTTTTCCTGCCACGCCCTAACAGGAGGGGCAAAGATACAGAAGGTTCCCTGGTCCACATTCAAAAGTCCTCACTCCTCCCCGGTGTGACGGCGTCCCACTCACGGCGCCCCTTCTCTGCATCGTCAGCAACTGGTTTCTCAAGTCCACTGGTCGTGAGTGAGGGCACAGCCTGTTCTGTGAGGTGACACCCTCTCAACTGAAAGTCTCCAAGCTGGGGGTGGAGAAGGGTTACAGGTGCTGGACAGAGCTGTTCAGGTGACTGCTGCCATTCTCTGTGTCTGAAGACATTTCACAATAAAACCTCTTATTCGTGTACAAGTTTATGCATCTCAGATATTCACCTGGATTTTGTAGAAACCTAAACATCTTCCTCCCAATCTCTCGCATATTCCTACAACCGCGTCTGCGGGGCACCATCAGAAATCATTTGCAACAACTAGTGCTGGTGAGAAAAAATGAAAGCAATGCCACAAAGACTCTTCACCCCTTAGAGGGAATCTTCTCAACAGCCCCGCCACAGACCCACTACTGTTTCCAGCTCAGAGAGGTTAAGTAACTAGCTCAAGGTCAAATGTCGGCTGTAAGTGGAGGCTGGGGTCTGGGCCTGGTCTGTCTGGTCCTCACTCTGCCCCTCCAGCAGCAGTGTCTGCAGGAACTGCTGTGGCACAGGGCACTGGGCAAAGGAGAGGGGAGAGTCATCAAGAGGCGGCGCGAGCTGTCGGCCACAGACCTTGGCAATAATGACAGCCCAATGGGAAAACCGCCACCAGCACGGCGGGAAACGGATGGGGTATCTACTGCACTTGGAAGCCAGGGGCCACATCAAGAGCGCCATCTCCAAACAAGGGCAGCGATCAGACGACAGACCCCCGCCACCCCGGAGAGCCCTCCTCCTGTTGAAGACAAGAGATGCTCGACTTCTTTGCATCTAAGCCAGCAGCAACCAACCAAACGGAGAAGTTAGCTTGTTCAGAACAGGGCACCAGCGACATTAGGGGCTGGACCGCTCTTGATGTGGGTGCCGACCTGTGCACTGTTGGATGGTGAACAGCATCCCTGATTGCTACCCATGACCACATGTCGGCGGCATCCTACCCACCCCCAACTCCCAGTGGTGACACCCCAAAACTTCTCCAGAAACTGCCAGATGTCCCCTGGGCAGCAAAACCGCCCTGGTTGAGAATCACTGGCTTACAAACCTACACTTGTAATGCACTGACCTAGTCCAGGGAGGGGCAGTGTCCTTAGGGCAAATGACTGCAGTCCCATGACAGCAGCTCTGCCTGGAGCTCTGGGCTCAACTGCAAAGCCTTCCACGACTGATTGGTAATGTCTGCTGTGTGTGAGGGAGGGGACGGGGTGGCAGCACTTGTCCCTCCTCCATAGTTCAGGGGTTCTCTGCATCCCAATTACCCAAAGAGCTTTTGCAAACTGCACATGCCAGGGTCCCATGCACAGACTTGGGTCCAGAAACCTGAGCCCAGAGAGCTGATCTACAGTTTTTAAAATGGTCCCCAGATGACCCCAAAGAAAAGTCCAAGTGAAGAGCCTTTATGTCAATGAGCCTCAAAAAACACTCGAGGCTTCTGGTACTAAAAGCTACCTCGAGGTAAATCCTCAGGCACTCCAGCCTGGGATCAAATTGGGGAATTTTGCCAGAGTTTCATCATTTCCTTATAGCCAATGTGAGAAATCTTTAGCTGGAGACTAAGAAAGTCACAGGATAATAAATATCTTTATACAAACCCGTTACTCTTCTTTTTTTTTTTTAATTATTTTATTTTATTTTTTTTGAGGAAGATTAGCCCTGAGCTAACATCTGCTGCCAATCCTCCTCTTTTTTTTTTTTTTTTTTTTGCTGAGGAAGATGGGCCCGGAGCTAACATCTGTGCCCATCTTCCTCCATTTTATATATGGGATGCCTGCCACAGCATGGCTTGACGAGTGGTGCCTAGGTCCGTACCGGGGATCCAATCTGGCAAACCCCGGGCCGCTGAAGTGGAACATGTGAACTTAACCACTGCACCACCGGGCTGGCCCTCCTCACTCTTCATTTTTGACCCATGTACCAGAACTCCCCGCACGTTGAGAAGTTCCCATTTCACTCCGTATCCAAATCTTTGCTTCTCATAATTTTCTTAGACTTCCATAGAAATCAATGTTATTCTCATTAATCGTGTTTGGACGCTGCAAGTATCATTGAACCATGTGGCTACTTGATTGATACTAATTGAAATTCTTTGGAATCACACTCCAATCTCTTTCCAGGGTTGACACTCACGGTGAAAAGGTTGGACCGGCGCTTGGACTGCTTCCGGACGGGCGTCGGCGTGTTGGCAGTGGGAGGGACATCGATCCGTAGTTCTTTCTGGCTGGTGCTTGGCGTCGACGGGACGGACGAGGAATAGTCACTTAAGCTCCCACCTCCATTACTTGTCTGTAACGATGGAAAACCAAGGATGGATTAATCACACACTCCAGGAACCTAAGGCCACCAGCAATGTGCGGTCATACGCGACAAGGCAGCCACACTGAAGAGACGCCTGCGCGGCAGGTGGGACGGCTTCTCTGACTCTGCTAGTTGTATGAGCATCACAGGTACACGGCCTCATTCTAGAACATACAGATGATCCCAGAGTCCCTTTATCTGAGAAAAGTGACGTAAGAAAGAAAAGTCTCTATCAGTTAATTTAAAAATTTAAAATGCCCTTCCCTGCCTGGGGGTTGACGCAGAAAGAGCACTGTTTTGTCCAGCAGGACGGCAACCCACATTTTATAAAGGACACCTTGAAACTCAGAATGCTTTTGGAAAAAATTTCAAGATTCAGAAAAACTGGAAGGTGCCTAGAGTGGAGAAGAACATCCCTGACTCTATCTCAGAGGCTGCCACTGTCGTGCAATTACTTACTGACGTCACAGGCAGACTGAAAAGTGTGACAGCACACCTGCCTGCCACATCCTTTAAAAAACTGCCAATGTCACACCTGTCCAAGAAATGTTAATTGAACACACAAGCGTGGGCAAAACCAAGCCAACAGTTTCCTTAATGGGCCTTGGGTTCGTTTCTCCAAAGTGACAATTATTTTATTCACTTCCAAGTAAGTGATTTAGCAAAATGTTGCTACAGAAAGATAGTAGTTTCTAAGGGAGACGGTAATTATAATTGAGGGCTGCTACCAAATTTAAGAGACAGTGGGACTAGCCACTGAGATCAACCCACAATTGTTCAACCCACAAGCAGACGAGAAGCAGGACCAACATAGGGGCGGGGGACTGAGACCAACAGCGAAGATGGCAGTGCACACCTGGCTTCTTCGCTCGAGCAGGCACGCCTCATAACTCAGGCCACGTGAAGACGGAAACATTAAAGAATGACTCCCATAAAAACCACTTGGCCACAGCGGTTTCTGAAGGCAATGTTCAGTCAATTACCAACATGCTGTTACTTATAAAGTTGAGAAGACAAAAAAAAAAATCCACCTTAGAGTGGCCGAGGCCCCTCCTCGGAGAGGCACGTTCTCCTGGTTCCGACACACCTTTCCCGCGTGCCCGACGTACCTGGCTTATGTGCACAGCAGACACCTGCGCGGAACACACAGACGAGTGGCTTGGAGAGTTGGGCAGCGACTTGCAGGGTCCTATGGACAGCTGCTGCTTCTTCCTTGTGGCAACAATCTTCTGGGCAACTAGTGGACAGGGAGACAAAAGAAATGAACGTGAGGCTGGTTTCCAAACATAAGGAATGTGGCAGAGACGGCTGGTTGTCCCTGTAACCCACTATTCCCTTCTTCTGCAGTAATAGAATTTCTGATTTTCAGTTGGGCACTTGACTACCAGAATAAATACAACATTTCCCTAAGCCTCCTCTGGTTTGTGCCCCCGTACCCCAACTAAATATGGCCAAGCAAGCAAGCTCTGGCCAATGGGATGAGAGTAGAAGGGTCATGTGGCATCTTCCAGGAACCTTCCTTGAGAGGGCTGCCCTTGGTCCATTTCTTTCTTAAGTCTTTTCTTCTTTGGCTGCTTATAATGCACACATGTGAGCAAAGCCCCAGCAGCCATCCTGGGGATGGAAGCCACACATGGTGGGACATGAGACAGCAGGAGGTGAGCCTCTGGCTCCAGGGAAGATCTTAGTGGCCCTGCACAGACCATCTCGGAAGCCTTGAATATAAAACAAAAAAAATACACACTTGTTTTGTTTAAATTATTCTAATAATATGATTTGTTCCAGTTAATTGCGGCAAAAATAATGCTAAATAAGATACAGTAATTTAAGTCCCCTGGAAAATCAAAATCTTTTTTTTGCACAGCCTATAGAATTACTCTTAACTGTGCAAGCTATTGTGTAGAATTATATCCAAGGACATGTAATGATACCAAAGACTTCTTTTATGTAATATATTACTATACACATTGGGAGTTTATCTTAATCAATACAAATCTAAGTTCAACCAGCCATAACTTCTCTTGGCAAATAGGCTCGCTGATAAAGCATATTGGATTTAATTGGAAAGGAAGTCAACGATTAGAAAACACTTCCTACACCAATAGGTGTCACTACAGGAGAATAACTACAGCTTTTATTTGAATAGATGTGTGTCTTTGGGGACTAGCTGTAATTAAGTTCAATGATATTCAATCCTTGTCTTTGCCCAGATAGTTGCAATTTTGAAAGATACCCACACGAAGGAACAAACACATCACTGTCCCCAGCAATAGGTTGTAATACAGGAGCGCACATAGTGTCTGCAAATAATTTCTTTTCCAAATGAATACAATTTTAATAAAGGAACTGGTTTGTCCACAGCTTACGGCTTTCATGCAAATGAATGATAGTATAAATATGATTAAGTGAAAATGCAATATATAAAAAATGGCTCACAGAGATGAAGAAGCAGCTTCATTAGTTACATCCCACCTCCAATAGGCCTCTTATCATCCTGAAAGGATGGTATCAATTAATTTATCTTCCCATGGTGTATTGATCATAACCTTCATCAGCTAATCATGTTTAAATTACAGAGGAATATCTCAGCACTCTGTCATTTCAAAACCATTGGCGTATTGATCTGGGGTCTTTGAAGACATATATTAGAACATTTCAAAAATCATTATGTGAACTCAAAAATAAAATCTAGGATCAGATTCCAATGGCTGCAAAACGTGTGTCACATAGGTGAAGTGAAATTCCGAAGACCAGAAGTAAGTTAACTTAAAATGGTGGCTGTGCAGGTGATTGCTAATTTACTTCTTTTTGGGGCAGGAGGAGAGCACAAGGGCGTTTTTGATTATCAGTGCTAACGCATTTTTATTTCACTCCCAGACTTGGAGGTGCTATTTAGCTGGATGACCACACCGACTTTGATCTTAAAGCTCACAGAAAACACAAATCTCAGAATGAAACAGGGCTGAGCTGTTTGGAGAGCTTTGTAGACATTTATATAAACGTTTTCTACACTTAGGGGAGATTTGAGAAACTTTCTAAGACAAGTCAAATATGTTATTAAAATCCTCATTTTATGAAACTCCAAATGCAAGTGAATGTTCCATCTTCCCTACCTGGAGTCTAAGAAAGGGCGAGTTCATGAGCAAAGAGAGTATTTTCATAATAAAGCTTCTCATCAAATAATGGACAGGGTTGTACAAAGCATGAGCCCCATGTTAAGTCCTAAAATTCTTCTGTCCATGTCATTATTGCTTGACCATATTAATTACAAAAAAAAATGAAGTCACAACTTCTAATAAGTGGTAGTATTTTTTCCTACTTTACTAGAATTTTTATTTATATTTGTTTTCTTTTCCCATTTACCCATAATTTTTATGTTCTTCCCACCCTCATACACAAATGGAGAAAAGGAAATGATTTACAAATATTTTGTTCTAAAATTGATAGACTGCTTTAGAGCCAAAGGGTAACCCACAAAAATGGGGGAAAACTTAATGAAAAACAAGGGAAGTATCTGACTTAGGAAGAAAGAAGAACAGAAGAGGAAATGGGACGGTGACGTGACTGTTCTGTGAGGCTTGGCCATCCTCCCCTCCATAGTGACAAGGAAATCTACGCTGTGAGCCACAGCTGTCTAACTGCTGATATGTCCTGGAGATGTGACCTGGGGGTGGTGTCTCTGCGAGCCTCACTTAAAGGCTTTCCTAGATGAATCATTTGGGCGTGAAAAAGTTAAAGTGACCACCGCATCTAAGACAGTGCCATGGTCCATCCCTCAAATGACCTTGAAAAAGTCAAGAACCGCCCCCCAACCTCCCAAAAACAACGCAAAGGAAATGGAAGGCCAGGGGAGGGAGGCGCTGTTCTCTTCTAACTATAATCATTAACAACTCACTGTGTTTACAACATTTAAATGTTAATCGATTTAAAACGCAAATATTACCCCAGATTATACTGGCTGGGCAATTTTGAGAACTATTGAGTTCTTTGTCTACATTTGATCATTCAACAAATGAATATGTTATGTATTTCAAATAAATACATGCATATGAATGAACCGATGAATAAATAAAACAGAAAAACAATCACTTGAGCTTACTTAAAAGAATCTGGAATCTTTACCATTGACATATGTTGTTTTCTCAATTTTGGTGACATTCTTGAGCAATTTTGATGACACAAGCTATGCCAAAGTCTTAAACGGTGCGGCCACTATCTACTGAAAATCTTTGATCTTTTACTAGACGCTAACCAATTTCATTAACCTCCTGATATTTCAATACTAATGCTCAGTGTTGTCTTAAAAGTCACTTCCTCAAGGATTTTGATGTTTTATTTGGCTAACAGATAAAAGATACCCTTTAATTAGCCCCTTCAGTCATCTCTATAATTAGGGCTTCTGGGGGCTGGCAGAGGTCCCTTCTTGACCTGGGCGATGACTTGGGATCATTTTTTAAGCTGCACCATTAAGTATACTTTGATCCATGTACTTCCGTTCTTCATCTAAAAAGAGGTTTACTGAAGAACTTAAGCAAGAAAAGTGAGTTACACCTTTACTTTCTCACAAATTTAAACTTTCTATTGGATTAGATGATAAATGACACTCTTTAATTAGAGGTATATATATAAGATCTTCAGCTCCCCAATAAGACTTCATTAAATCCTGGCCTAATGCCCACTTTCTGCTTCAACTTTGTTTTTTAAATCTTTCGCGCTAAACAAGGAAAAGGATAACTTCCGGTCACATCTGACCAGTGGGCCAGGCAGGCCCACCTAACAACTCAGTTAATCCTCACATTCTTCTATTTCACAGAGGAGGTAAATCAAGCAGAGAGGCAGCCCGTAGCAGGACAGGGGTTCAAGTGCAGTCTGCCGGCCTCCCACCAGCTTGCTACGCTGCCGCAGGGCAACAGAACATCCCTTTTCCCTGCCCGCATCCCCCACCAGACTCTTCCGCTGCCAGAACCGGGACCACGTATCCTTTTGCCCTGTCCCCTCGCTTTCTCCACAATCTGTAAATTTTATTTGGATAGCAGATAAGAAAGATCCAGCTCGGTGGCTGGCACCGAGGAGACGTTCAGCCAACCCCACTGGCCGAGCTCCATTTTCACAGTCAGCCTTCTTGAGAGCAGGTGGACTCCCCCTGATGACCCCTCCTTTGTTCCCCTGGCCATTACAACCTGGCCTCATCTCCATCCCCTTGGTTGAACTTACCATTGTCAAGGTCACTGGTGGCCAACTGGAGGCCAGCTTGCATCTTGACCTCTGGGCAGCAGGTGGCATTACTGACAGTTCCCTCCTCTCCTGAAACATTTCCTCCTTCCATGACATCAACTTTCCTGGTTTCCCTCCCCTGGCTGGAACTTCCTTCCCCTCCTCCTTCGCTGCCTCTTTCAATAGGGTGCTTCCAGGCTTCCTCCCTCAGCTCTCTTTTATCTCCATGAACTCTCCCCAGGCAATCTCTCCACATTAATGTGTCAACCACCACCTCAATGCCAATGCCTCCCAAATCTACCCAAAGCCTCACTTTGCACCCTTCCTGCGTTCTAGAACCGCGTATCCTATTACCAACCCCCCATCTCCCCTCGATGTGCTGGAAATGCCCCAAAGTCCACATGCCCAACCTGAGCTTCGTTCCTTCTCCCACCCAACAGATTTCTCCTTGATTTTCTATCTCTGTGGATTGTACCACTTACTCCCTCCCCACCCCAGGCGTGGAGAGGAGACACAACAGATGATTGATTCTACCACCTGAATTTCTCTTAAATTCACGGGCGCTGCCTTGATCCAAGACCTCACCCTTCCACGGCTGGCTACCCAAACAGCTTCCAAGCACCCCTTCACTGCAGCCCGAAGGAACACACTGCAAGGCGACCTTTTAAAGGCAAATCCATCATCCGCTCCACTTACAGCTTGTCACAGCTCCCATCACACAGACAGCAAGGTGAAGCTCCTAGCAAAATGGGGTCTTTCATGTTTGTGAGGAGTAGGTTCTCTGCTCCTGTCATTTCCTTCCACGGAGAGATTCCCACTGCCCTAACCTCCCGGCTTGCTACATGTTCTCCTGGAAATAGGTCCAACCCCACTGAGGAGCAGGGACTCATATGACTGATGAGCTTGGAATAAACTGTCCCTTCTCGGTCCCTCTGATCTGAGGGTCTGTGTGCCCGGGACTCAGGGGCCAAGCGTGGGGCTCCCGCGCTGCCTGGACCCTGCCAGGCAAGTCCTCCTGCTTCT